TYYTKRWTYYTTGTRATTAGGGCCATGACAATACTGATGGAGACTACTACGAGCATATGAGCGACAATACCATTACAACCCAAGACAATGGYTACAAYAACGGTCCAAACAAAGACTATTTTGCCTACGACAATCCGGGAAAGCAACAAGAAAATCAAGAAAATGCCTACGATAACCCTGGAAAGCAAGAAMATTTCTATGATAATCCAGTAGCCCTCAATGATGACATCAATGGCAACAGCGAAAATAACGACTATTTAGTGATGAAGGATCAATATCAGAATCAGCTTAAGCCTGATGATATGGTCACTTCGTTTTAGATATATATATATGCATGTGTGCGTGTGAGCTATGAGCAGGAACGAATCGAAAAGATTGAAATAGTGCTATCTATATTTGTCAATATTTTKTCAGTATTTTGAGGACTTAATAAAGCCGTTCTTTGTTTCCCAATCACCATTTTTGTATTACTATTTATTGATTTACTAGCCTCCCCTTCCGTTTTCCCCCGCCCTCCGCCCTCCCCTAGAGCCGCCACGCAGGCTATTGATTTACATGTCATGGAGAATGATCAGGCACGCCATATCTAGAATATTCCGTGACAGGAGATGTCCACTGGACCCAAAGTTTGCCATTCSTGCACGAAGGAAAATGAATTATTTGAGCGGCAAACAAAACGTGCGAGAATTTCACATCTCCCATYATGCTTTCGTCTAGAAAATGGCGTCGCTGCAGCTTTGACCATATTGAAATATGTACTGCAAAGCATCCATAAACAGCGTACATTTGACGATTTTGTTTTTTCTGAAAGCGCCCAGTGACATTATTTTGGCTTATACCCAACATTGAAATACGCCCTCGTGTACCAAACAAAAATCACTGTGGATCAGCCGCGTTTGTTTTCTTCCAGTTTATTTTACAAATCATCATTTCTGATGATTTCTGATTTACGTGAGGTTACGGTTCATGCGCACAAGCTATGCATACATTACTTAGTTCACCAACTTTGTCGATTGAATGTTGACCGAAACTCTCTAAACAAGAAATTTCAGGTTCTGTTGCTGACTTTGACGAGCTTAGAATATCGGCAACCAAGAAGAATTTCATCCAACATAAGGTGAGACATTCATTAAATGCTCACTAGGATTCTACCGAGATAACTAAGTGAGTGATTGCGATTAGACTTATTTAGACTTGTTTAGATGATGTTAACCATTATAATMATACTTAAAGCCTTCAGTAAATTTGTCTAAAGAGTAATTCATATATTATTTATTGTATTGTAAAAAAGTAGGCCCATTTTCGCCAGACATGTTGCTTTGTTGAAGTTCATAACAATGATAGCTGTTATTATATTTTCTCGGCGCTAATAATATAAAACGGAACACTTGATTGTCAATTCATGTCATATCTGTTAGTTGGATTCATGATTTTTCAGTGTAAATTAGTGTGCTTTCAGTATCTCAMGATTGCTGCACTTTTGTGGAATTTGCTTTTCAGCGCAACGCCTTTTTCAGAGCGTTAATCTGAATTCAACATGAATCTAAAACTTTGCGAWGTGATGATTCTACTTCTAGCTACTGCTTCGACGGCAGCTGCATTAGGTAAGAAAAGGAATACTGAAGTTTAGTATCATTGAAGATTAAATGCAGGGATACGTGTCTCCTTAAAAAGATTGATGATGTTTCATGCTGCGCTTCTTGCTACCCTCCTCATTGACCAACAATAAAACTGAACCAAGGCGAAGAATTTATATGAATCTATAGTTATTTCACTCGAGCTTTAGTTAATCASTTACCAATCGAAAGTATTTCAACTTTTCCTGYAATATTCTTTTAGCAATTTCATGAGTATCCAAACGACGTTGCGCTAGATGGTCAAATGACGGTTTGCATGCGTGCACCAAGATTATTTCTGAACTGCTCTCAAATTTCTTTTTACAGTTTTAAAAATACAGTTTAATGTCCATGCCATGTTCAATTATGAAATTTTATTTTGTTAGTTTTTAAAATGTCTTTCTTTTTATTTATTTTTTCAGAGTTTAGTGATGGTATGTATATATAGTGTTTATTCATTTGTTATCATAACAGTGATATATGCACATCACTTTGTTCTCGTCTTTATGTGTCTTTACATAGTATGGTCTTTTACAACTGAACAATGTTATGGATTTGACTGTCCTGGACTAGCCTTTGCTACTAGCAAAAATTGTCAATACCAGTATATGTATGCCATTAAGTGTCAAGATTTCAATTAGYAAATCATAAGCTAGAGTACAAACACTAAAACTGTGCAACATAAATACCACTRAATACTGCTAAATTATGCTAATTCTATTGTTTTCTATTGTCTAATTAACACTATTTTGTAGTAAATAGTGGAAAGTGTTGCACACGTTTAATGTTTGTACTCTATAGATTCGTGTGTTATTTTTCTAGCCGACACTCAYAGTCTTGCWATAGCATTCTTGGTGCTGTGCGCCATCGTTTTGTTGGTGGCCGTGATTATTGCAATCGTGATTTACCGTARAGTCAAGCAGAAAGTAGAAGGGAAAAGGTAATCATACCTTATTACGTGCAGTCAAGATAGTATCGAGTCCCTGAGTATCGCTCTCAGTATCGCCCTATCGCTGAGTTTATACTATCAATAATACTTTAGCAACAATATTCCAATTTTTGTTCACATAGTTGTTTTCAACTGAGGAGTTGAAATAACGCCACTAATAGAGTGAAGAAATAGAGTGAAGTAACCTTAAAGAGAGTTAAATCTACTCCACAATGCGAGTAGCGTTTTCACCGGAGGTTTTAATAAACTCGGAACGAGAGTCAAAATTCAGTACTCCAAAAGCAGTTCGGCTAAATTAATTGCTCTTACATGAGGAGTCAAAATTAAAGTTAAAATTGGTGAAGTTATCTGGTACCTTTTTTTAACTTCTCTTTTTGGATTTATATCCGCACTGAATCTTTTARAAATAACAGTGCAGGTGTTACACTAAAATCATAAAAATATTTGAAAGTAATTGATTGATTTGTATATTGAAGAGTAGACACACTTTATCCTTATAAATAATTCAGATTAAGAGGTGCTAAATTATAGTGATTCCTTTAGTTCCTTTAGATTCCTRTTAGTGATATTTGTTTCATGGATTTAATACACGTGTATTTTTGTGTTTTATTTTTGTTGTATTTCTTTTTCACGTGTACAAAGTGTGGGTTCCAAATACAACTTGGAATATAGAAGAACCACAAAGAAGAACGACAACTTCARCTCTRTTGGTGTGTATGGGTATTACGCRGAYCCAGAGCCAGTTGGTTCTATCTATCTTCCTCTTGACCGTGAAAAGAGAATTGAAGAAAGCAATGGCTATGCGTACTTGAAGGTAAAACCAGTGATCAGTCTTCTCCACACCTTTTCTTTCAGTTTCTATCATGTCTGTTTAGCTGGTGAAAATAACCAACGTACGATAATAGATGATTTTTGAGCCCAAATATTAACGTAGTGCGAAGCAATCTTGACGCAAAGCTGGCAAAACGCAGTAGAAATCTGCAATAAAGTACGATGCAATAACCCTTTTCGCGGTTAAAAAAAACAGTTGCGCGAGACTTGGCACTCTTGTTAATTTGAGGGCTGCAGCAAACATGTTACCCGCTTCGAAAAGGTCTATCTTCTTCGTGGTTTACTGCGCCATCTTGAAAGGAAGCCACGCCTTTGCATCGAAGCRAGAGGACTGGTGTACGTACAATGGTAGATACCCTTTTTCGCACCAATTAATTGTTTTTTAATCATTTACAATTATCTATCAWTGCAATCTCACGTGTCGTCTTGCTTGTATGCAAACGATAATTGCTACCTTTGACAATGGCGAATCGAACGGTTATAAAGAGTACTATTAAAATAGAATTTGACTTTTTTGTGGTTATTAGGGCAAAGACAATGAAGGAGCCAGCACCTACGAGAATCTCAGCAGCAGCAACTCGTTTACACCCAAAAATAATGTTTACGAGAACCCGGGAACAGTTATAAATGGTSACGCAWATGTTGATGACGATGACAGTGAACACGATTATGAGATGGCTGTTGATCCYAGTGTTAGCACTCGTGGTCCTGCTTACGAAAACCCACCAGTCAAGRCCAAAGACGCTGAAAGTTCTTTTTAAGTCACTGCTTTTAAGATTTAAAAATCTTTTYCTCACTCCTCTATGTAAACTAATTTTTAACCCGTCAAACTTATATAGAACGTACACTACAGTAAGAAGATTTGAATTGGAGTCTACAAGCAGTGTTCATAGACTCAAATCCAACAAGTRGTTTCTATTTCAAAGGTTGAAAATCACTCTTAAATATCGATCGCAAAGCATCTTGGCTGCTTCTGCTTTTTTTAAACTTTATAAAATATATTTTCAGTGTTTGTGACTATTCAATATTTACCGGTGCCTATAAATTCACTAACACTGCTAATGCATATTAACCTACTAACATAATATTTAACATAAGAATGATCAAATATCATCACCAATAGATAAAAACTAACCTACTAATATACTAATACTACGCTCTTGCTTAACTAATTCAATGTTCTTAATTACTAGAGTCATATAGATGGCTGATTAGAAACTGACAGCCACTCGCACTGGTAGAGCGAACACTGCGTGAATAAGTACTTAACAAATAGTGCTAAATAATGTAGATCAGACAAAAACATAATTGAGTAAAATTTGYCTGTACTTTCAATTATGTTACCATTTCATGATTTTAGTGTTTGCACTCTACACGATTAATGGAATAAAGTATAAAGTAATTTCACTTTTGATGGTGTCTTATTTGTAATTCAGACTCGTACCCAGTCGCTTCTCCGGCTTTTTTAGAGACGCGCAATGCATCAAGGGAAGGGCGAAGGGAAAGCGCGACAGAGACAGTTTCTTTCAAATAAAAATATAAGCTATCTATCAACCTCTTCGAGCGTTGCGAAAAATAAGGAGTAACGACTGGGTACGAGTCTGTTTGTAATTGAAAATGACGAGGAAATGGTAGGAAGAARACAGGGAAGGAGCTCTCTCAAAATTTAGATATGAGGCTAAGCCTTGTTTTAGTCATACTGTGCAAATCTTCCTATCTCACCAGTGTGGCGTTTTAAGGTAAATCAAGGAAAGATTATCCTAGTCTTCTTGGCAGAAAGAAAGCCCTAGATGTCGTGTCGCATTGTGTGACGGGTTGATGATTGCTAAGATGATATACTGGATGAGGTTTGAGACGATAAACCACTTAAGGGAATTGTCCTTTGATTTCATATATTATCATCATCATGATTTTGTTATCGTTCACTTTATATCTTATATGTTTAGCGAAATAACGTATATTATAGCTAGAATGYACCATTTTCTCAAAACGCTGTCGTCTGAATCTAAAAATTCTAGACTTACAACTTTTGTCAAATTTGACAACACCCTCGAAGCAGCGTTATCTTCGGAAATTTTGGCTCTTTTGGWGTCTGTAAATCGTTTATCATTGATCTTTGGTCATTTAGTGATCTCTCGTTCTAAATATGATGGTGGTATGACATTGATGGTGAGTCACACCACCATGCCATTTAAGGCACCCAGTCTCTCACGGCATAAAATTAGACAATACTTGGTCTTTCACCCGCAGCTTGGAGTATGTATCTTTCGGCACCCTATAACTGTTCCAGCTAAACTTTTTCACTAAAATAGGGAAATTTCCCTTTTTTTCGTATCCGAATGACTAATTGAATATAAACTGATTTCAATCCTGTTTTGTTTGTTTGTTCTCGGTTCTTACATCATGTGTAACTGGTAACGATCGGACCTTCTGASGAAGCAGTGAGCCAAATTTTGAACTCCCCTCAACACTTCAGTTTCGAGATCTTATTTGTGCAGCCTTTGACCTCGAAAGTATGTAGTATATTCTTTTATTTAGCAGAGATCCTATTGTAATGCAGACATTCTGTGTACAAAGAAGACAATAAAAGTTTATTAAACCCGCACAAAAGAGAATTCGAAACTGGAGTACTGGCACAACTTTGCGTTGGATGTTACATTCCGCTCAGCTTAATTAGCTCATCCGTCTAGGACGTTTAGGGCTATCGATGTCAGGGTATGATGTAAAATTGTGTTGCATTGTAGACAATATTTTTTTACACAATACTTGCAGAACAGGTTATTGCACGTCTATATTCAAGACAATTTGTATTCATAGTCCAACGGAAAACTACATGTTTGTTTGTGTAGATGCCGATAGACATGTCACCTCTTCTTGACTGCATTCCTCGAGGACCTCGAGCTATAATGATATGATTCTTACGAGAAGAAAAATGCAAAGAAATATGCTACAAAACCCTTTCAGATTTTGACAATCATACTACCGAAACGGGCAGAGAGTATTTTTTTTTTGCCAGTGAAAACACACTTGTCTGAACATTCCTGAGCTGACTTGTTCTCAATATTACTTGTAGGTCAGGTGCCTTCAGGACTAACCTTGACCATTACATCTATATATGCAAAAATAATCGACCTAATCGCAACAAAAGGTGGTTTTAATTTTTGATTCCCTAGAGAAAAGTAGAACGAAACAAAAATTCGTTTTCGGCCGATTTGGATGATTTGGACATTTGTCATGGACACAAGGACTGCTCACACTACTTTGTACAAAACCATAAAACACTAAAGAAAATACAAAGGAATGAAGTCATAGAAATTGCATGACTTAGGAGGAAAAAAAGAAGAAAGAAAAGAACAAATCTTTTTTTGGTTCTTCGTTCATTTTAATCCCTAAATCTACTTTTTTTGAGCTTGTGGATATGACGCTGTGTGAACGGTCATTAGTCGGTTTCATGTTAAGGATTTCATATCACGTACACCTGACCTGTATGTTTTGTCACATTCTAACTGTTTCGGTAGTAGTCTAATAAAAAAAACCCACAACATTTCATTAAGACTTCATTTCAAGGCATTATACAAGTAGATTCAAACCTAGGAACTGTTTTTATTTTATTTCTTTAACGGAAGAAGACGTTCGATTAAAGTATCATATCACAATATCACAAAAGGTTTGATGACCAATGGAGGTGTGACGGAGGCATGTTTTTTCAAAACTGAAACCAGATCTGAGAAGCACATGATATGCAAGCTGCTCATATAAGACTGCTGGCGTCAATAACCGAACAAAAAATTACAGACAAAGATCCCTAAGGAACAACAAAGTAAGTATGGATGAGTGACAATCCTGTTCTTGTTATCAGATTAAGTAGAAAAAAATTKACGGAAATCTGTCATTTACTAGTGTGCATTTTGCTGTGATTTATAATATTTTTCCACGTGGAGCCGACGCACTTAATCAGTCATGAAATTATTGTAAAATTACGCTAATTATTTTCTATTGTTTTATCAATATTAATTAGTAATAATTATTTTTTTTGGAGTAAAGGGTTAAGTTAGTCCAACTCTGCTAGCAAATTGTATTATTTATTGGATAAAACAGCTTTCCAGGTTTCATTCCTGGACAAGTGCCAAAATAATGAATACAAGATACTTGCAGGACCTGCTTGCATCCGTGAGTCCTTGCGATCGTTTGCTCTGTTTTAAAAAAGGATCTGCATGCTTTTGAAAGTTCTTTTTTGATCGRTGAAAATCAAAGATGGCTATTTTTAGTTGTGGAAAGATCAAGCAAAGGTTTACGTGTGAACGWTAACTGCACATTAGTCATGTCTGTGTGCATTTGGACATCCGTTTTTAAGACTCAATTAACTTATATACTTATTTAGCAGGAATACTGTAAATAGAGCCTTATGAAAATCGACTTAAAAGATGACAAATATTATGGAAGGTAATTATTCCTTGTATTATCATTTCATCGGTTGTGTTATTTTGCTCAATGCTTGTACTGTTATCCTTAGATATTGAGAAAATAACCATCAAAACTAATTGATTAATTAATTGATAGTCAAGAGGAACGACTAAACTCTTCAAAAGCAATCAGCATGAATTATCGTTTTTGCCCGAAACCTGTTTTCGATTGCCGCTCCGATCCGTTAGTACAGAACCTATTATGTTTGATATGTTGAAAGTTTTTTTATCTATATTACAGTACTAACAACCACACCCCCAAAGCAGCATTCAGAATCGTCAGCAAGTGGTAAGACTTGTAATGAGCATGCATATTTGACTAAATTGCATTGTGCGCAATGTTCTTGAACCTTCTGTCAGTCCCGATGTAATTACGCAATGTCAAAACAGTGGGAATGAATTTATCAGGATGTGCAAGGACTAGAAAGTGAGCCTGAGTTTCATCAAGCGTTTACTCATAAACACCGTTTATTGTAGAGTAAAAAGGATGTACGCAGACATCCGATAGACGATCCTATTAGACTTGTAATATATGAAGAAAAGTAAGATAATAACAGAGTTGTATTTCTTATTCTCAGTGCTGTACATAATATTTCTATTGATGAATGTCATCGTAGCAGCCCAGATAGTGCTTTGTGTCCTGTTTGCATATAAGTTTTGCAGAGCAAAGTTTAGGTATGGAAAAAATGATTCTTGGTATTAAAAACACTGCTTCTGGCAATGCCTTCATCTTCACAGGTTGCTTCTGGTAATGTTACTGTGAACTTGTGTACCTGATTTCTATAATCTGGTGGATCCTAAAACCTCTTGAGCCTTTTGACGAATCTATACGACAATTGAGTGCTTTGTCCTCTTGATATCTATATAGRATATAGTGCGCGATTCATGGTGTTAATGTTATTCATGTTCTAGACCCGACCCTCCCCCATACACGCCTCCACTTGTAACTGAAGAGCCTGTTGAACAACCACCAYCCTACATGACACTAGTCAATGAACAGCTGCACGGATACGAATCGGTTGAACCATCTACTACGCATGAGCCACAGTTGACCGAAATAAGAGAACGATGACGATGGCGTTACGAAAAGTGCGGAAAARCAAGACTAAAAATATTAAAATGTCGTGTGTACTAGGTAAATTGTTTAAAGGCCCAGTGTGCACAATTATGCTTTGGGGCCCTCGGGCGGCCATTTTTAGTTTACCGAAAGACTATAAATTGTACTGTGCGCCTTTCGAATCTTTGATCATCTCACTTTTCTAAGCACTTTAAACGATAATATTAGAGTTTTCAACCATCTTACTTCGTTTTATATATGGTGATCTTTGGATACTAGAAGTATTTTGGTGTAAATCATAACAATAACAGAGGCTCGCAAAGCATAATGGTGCAAACTGGGCCTTTAAGAGTTATCAAACAGATGATGATAATCGGAAAGAAACTAGTTTGGAAGAAGATTTCCACATCATGGATTCCTCATCTGTTGAATAAAACATATGCCGACATGAGACACACAAGTCACAAAGCATTCTACTTGCAACCAAATATTTCATTTGTGCAATTCTTATATCATTAATGAAGATCGAGTACTGATATACGAGTAACTGATTCTCTATCAAGACTCATGGCGAACATATGTGAAGGCATCTTTACTTAGAAATCTAAACAAACGTACGTAGGAAGATCTAGATAAATACTAATAAACAACAACAAAAAAACGAATTACGTAAAAAAGGATTTATTAAAGCAAGGGCGAGAACTGAGGAAAAGAAACTATGGGGAACGAACCATACATAGCAAAAAAGTAAAATTATTRGAATTTTGATATTTTCTCTTATACATTTTAACAAAGTTTCTCRCTACGCCACTGCTCTTTAACGTATAATATAATAATTTTGTCGTTCAAGCTCTCAATTTATTGATTTTCATTACATTTCTATGCTACACTTTCAAMCTATGTAATAGTTCAGACACAAGAAGGTATCTGCAACAATACCAATTTTGCTATATCATCAAGRAAAACTGGTCATCATGCGTTCCTAGYTCCTTCAAAAATGCATTTATGACATTCAAAAGCCAATGATAAATAGTGAATAGAATGTACATTTTTTTAAATAAAACYTTTGTTAGGTTTCTTTTAYATGGCACTGATTTCAAACTCAATCTACACTTGATGATGGTATAGATGTTGATGCGTCGCGTATCATTACTAGCCTCCTTTGCAGCCGACTTACATTGACCTTCGGCAAACTACATAAGACGTCTGCAACAGAGGTTTTTACCTCATATGAAGCATAACTAAGCCATTCTGTCATAGATGTCCATTTGGTAAGAGATAATTGCCCTTTTGATATATATCCTGAACCCCRTCGATAGCGTGAAATATATTCTTTTGAATCTGAGTACAGTAGAATTTCAGACAAAGAATAATTACACACTGCCGGGATTGTGGTTCAAAATATGAGCCATCGAAGTACCGATAGATTTTAATGATACCTCAGGTGATAATAATGATATTGGATAAAATCCCAATGCTGGCTGTGCTGTTGTTTCTAGTTTTGCCAAAAAGAGGTAATTTGTACAATCATTTTCGTCATTCCGACCTCACCAAGTTACATATCTCACATTAAGTTAATCATTTTATTGTCGGTAGTACTCATTAATCGTAATCGCAATATCTTTAATCAGATGTAACGTTTTCGTTGGATATTAGAAACACGGACTTCGATACATAAATCTTGCAACGCTCTTATAACAAGCATTCTATTTCCTTGATGTGTTGCCAACTGTAACATTTAAATTATTTGATATTGAAACTGAAATAACCATAATATTTAGGTGAATGCTAACGGTGAACATGAATACTGATGTTTAAACATATCCAAATCAAACACATCGCCTTTACATCAATACTTCGGTATAATTAGGGGCCAATTAGATTTGATTGTCAATACTGAAGTCGCCATCTTGAATTCATTTTCCGAAATCACGGGACAAACCGGCAAGAGGGGGACTTAAGGGGGGTCCTGGATCCCGCAATACCGCAGAAAAATTTCGGAAATCCCGCAATACCGCAAAGAAATATCGCAAATCCCGCGTCCAGCAAAATTTCCCGACAAAGGGCCAAATCATGAATGACGGAGACCGAGAATCACCGTCGCTAATAGTCTACAAAGGGCCGGAATAGACTTCAGCGTAGAGTATTGAACATTTTCTATTTAGTTAATTCTGCGCCACATCTTTAGATATTTGCTTTTAGAAGTATAATTTTATTATTTTTAATTTTCCCTAGTATCTGCTGCAATCCTCACCACTGAAGAAATCTTAGGTAATGATGATATGCATTGAAATTCATAGCTACAGTGTAAAGTTTTGGAAATGTATTTTTGTGTGAAAAATCATCATAATAAAAACCTTATGCGTTGATTATCCCGGTGGTTTGATTTCAGGAATTGTCRTTGCCGCTTGCGCGTTGTTGATTGTCATCATCACTGTGATTGCTGTTTGTTTATATTTTCGTTTAAAGAAATATCGGTGAGTAGCATGGATTACAACAAGGGGGTTAGTTATGACTGTACGTCTTGTCGTTTACTTGAGAAGACGAACTTTAAAAAACTAGAGAATTAAATGGCAGTTGGGAGGTTCTCAATAGCGCCGTGATATACTTYATTTCAAGAGCTYAATAGCACTTTTMTGCATTTAAATCCAACAGTAAGAGGGTAAAGCATCTTTCTCATGTTAAAAGAGAGCAACATGCCGACAACGAGGATGGACATCTCCAGAACRAAAATGGCTACCAGAATCAGGCGATGAATCAATACAATGTGAGGACTMACTTTGCAAGAATTTAAGACGTTTCATTATCATTTTATTGATTTATCCCATTTTCTTTGATATTAATTTATTTGTTGATGATAAGCCTGTTCTTTTACTAAAACAGTACTATCGTGGCAAAACAGARGAAATTCAAAAACAAAAACAAAAACAAAACGGATTTTTCCTTTCCCAGACAAATTTAAATGGCAAAGAAAAGGATTAAAAAAAACAAACCTTGAACAAAATACATGAAAAGGTGCGATAAGTACATATCCCATCATGCTTTGTTCTATAAAATGACGTCGCTTGCCATCACATGATATTAAGACTGCAATATTACCAAGTATTTCACATTTTTAATTTTTTACGCAGAATGAAAGTCATGAAAGTCGTGAATCTGACGATGTTGTCGAGACACGTCACGAAGAAATCGTAGAATCGAAACCACGTGATTGGGCAAAGAAACATAATGACGCAGACTCGAGAGCTGCGAGACGCTTTGCTCATATCAACAGCCCTCSACAGGATAACAACAATGCCAGCAAAGAAATGTGGTAATTTCATATCTTTGTTTTATATCATGATTATTGCCTGACAAAAGGAAAAATGCTGATATCTGACTTATGTTTTTCGTCTATTTCTAGGGGACTGTACTAGCGCGAACATGGACACTATATACATAAACTAGTTACACATATTCAAGAAAAAAGAATCATATGTTTTATGTACATTAATTTACATTATTCTATTACCGCAAGCTAACATCTATTTCACCACGACCTGCTCCCAGTTTGGCCTTGTAGCTCAGCTGGTAGAGCATCGGTAGTACAAATCCGAAGGTCGTGGGTTCGAATCCCAGCGAGGGTCGGAAATTAATTTTTCCGAGTTTATTCCAAAGGGTCTTTCTCCCGGAATAGGCCATTTGCGTTATGTCGTAACTTTACTACAACTACCATAGAGCCTTGCGCATTTTCATTGTTATTCAAATTTTTAATCCCCTTGGAGATTAATAAAACAGTTGGCACTAATTGCATTACAAAAGAAAGTTGGCAAAGCATTCTGGTAGTTGTAGTAAATGACGACAATGCAAATCGGCTATTGCCTCCTTTTAAGCACTATAACTTTCTTTCATTTCTATATCATATGTAGATTATGAAAGAGAATGAGATGATTGCTTATATTTTGTTTAACTTGTTATAGTTATTTTGAAATTTTGCTATTGGCATGTCGACTATGACGTGAACATAAGCGCGGAATAAGCAGGAACATTCATTTATTTATTTTTTATCTATTTTATTTTTCCGTTTTTGAGTAGCGTGGGCTGAAGAGATTATTATGCACATGAATAAATGATTAAGAATGAATGAAATGTACTGACCGAGCTCAATGCAAATTAATCAAATCTTTTRTTTCTGTTCAGTCATTATCGTCTCATTTGCATTGAATCAGCACTGGTAAAACTCGGTGTTTGAATGATGATTCGTTTCATTTTCGTTCATTCGTTCTCAACATCTGTTTTTTCAATTCTTGTTTTTGGAATAAAKACTGTGTTACGTAAATATATAGTGAAGCTCAGTAGGCCATAACAACAAGGAATCATAAAGTCTTTCAAAACCAATGATGTAGAACAAAAGTTTTTTGAATAGTTTATAAAAATGAATTAATTCACCAAACACACGAACTGAACAATATTCACAACAACAAAGAGCTCAACAAAGAATTTCACGAAAAACCTGGACCAGGGTCTGACCTGGACATTCACTACACATTCAGTATTAGTTTTGCAACCAGACATCTGTATTCAACATGGTTGGCAAAGGCCACAGTTTATTTCTGGCGACCATTTTATCCTTGATCTCCATAGAGAAAGGTAACTAAATTATAATGTGAAACTTTAGATGTTGCTTCGTTTTTAGGAAAAGAGTTAAAAAAACTTTTAGTAAGTTGGCCTGTTTGTATATATATTGTGTAAAATCTCGTCATTTTTCAGAAATACACTCAAATTTCAATCTGTATATAAATGGCATACTTGAAAGTCGTCTACTGTATGTGAATTTGAATACATATACGTCAATCATAACAACTTATATACATAAAAACTGATGAAATTTAGATATTTATATGTTGATTTTGGTCAGTTCCGAAGTACAAATGATATGTAACGTATTTTTACTGATCATTTAGCAATAGGATCAAATAAATGGTTGTAGGTTGGTCTATTCATTACGATGTAAGCGCTACTTCATTTAGCAATAGTTATCTAGAGTCGACTAAGGTATCAATCATTATTCAACGGGACTCTTGAGTGAATATTTGATAGTTTTAATAACTGCTCGTGAAGACAATTTTGGTTCGGTTAATGATAAAAATGTCCTTTTATAAGCAGAAAAAAAACAGGATGGAAATGTTCACGATAATTATCCTGCTATTGTAGGCACGATTGGCATGCTGTGTCTGAGTATATAAGTGAGAATCATAAAAATCAAACACAATGAAAATAACCATACACAATGGGCGATCTCGTGAGTCAAGAAAAAACATACAAAATCGGTCTTAGAATCTTAATTTAGACGAACCTCAGTATATCTGGAAAACGCTAAAATAATGTCTTTTCACATGATGACGCAATTACTACCAGAATGCTATGTGCACCTTTCCTTGTATAGTGTTGTTTTAGTACATGGGTGATAGTGTTATTTGTTTGACATTGCTTGACATAAAGGTGAAGTTTTATAAAGTACGTAATTCGTTAACCACTATTTTTTATTGCCAGGAACAGCTGCATCTCTAGACACTTTATTCGGAACAACTGATACCGATGATAAAAGGCGTAAGTTATCGATGGTAGTGATGAATAATAATTGGAAAGTTTTAAACAATAAACAAACAAAACAATATTGAGAGTGCTACTTGATTTGATCTATGGGAAATTGTGGCTGTAATCTGATTGAAATTGTGAAAAAGTAGTCAACAATTTTATCCAAATGAGTTTTCTTTTGAAAATATGACCAACAGTTAACGATAACCTTTAGATAATGATAATAATGACTTGTTTTTCTGCTTTCAGTATTGTATATTGCCATTGCATTATTTGTAGTAAGTGCAATATTCCTGATCCTAACGATTATTGGTAGCTTTTGTATTTACAAGATGATCAAGGCAAAAAATCAGTGAGTTATTCGCATTATTTGACTATTTTTCTTATTTATTTTTTATGCTTTCCCCAATAGAAAAAAGCAAACTTCTAAAAATACAGTTTATACAACTGTATACAAATTGATGTTTGTTTGATGTTTTAGAAAGCTAATGTATTAAGAAGACGTTGTCTATAATCATTTTTCTTGGTGTGCACCCAGTTAATTAATCAGAAAAAGAAAATAAAAAATAATGCCTTGTACTCTTTATCCAACATGGCGGCTATGACGTAACGTACACACTAAGAACTGCGCTCTTTTGTCATCGTTCATTTGTTAAATATAACTTATCAATTTGACTTTTTTTATAATGAAGGCCAAAGATCAGACATTTGAAGAACTTGGACAGCATAATCTACGACGCCCATAATATGGTGCCACTCCCRCGAGCCAACACTTATAGTAAATTCAATGAAGGATACAACAACAACTACGATTCACCTTCCTCGACAACCTTTAAAGGATAAACTACTACAAGCTAAGATATCATTGAAAACAATACTCAACGCATTTCCTTGAGATGTTTATTACTACTTGGATTTGCTAAATATTAATTTCGGAATATATTTTGGCTATACTCCAGTTTCGAGATCTTATTTGTGCAGCCTTAACCTCGAAAGCATGTAATATATTCTTTTATTCAGCAGAGATCCTATTGTAATGCAAACACTCKGTCTGCAAAGAAGACAATAAAACTTTATGCTTGATTGAAGCTAAGCTTGCACGTCAAAAGAGAATTCGAAACTGGAGTATTGACAGTGCCGCTGCTATGCAGTACTGGAATTTGGACATGGTTTGAATTTCAGTGATTCAATTTATCTTTACTAGAGTACAACTGTTGTGCACGCGTTAACATAGGAAGGTTAACGTTCCATTAGGTTTTTAACGTGTGAAAACCACCCTAAAATGCTKTAATTTTTCTCATTCGGATTGATTTTGTCGTCTTCTGATTCATCGTTGGTGGTGGTTGCGCTCACCCTTAYACGATCAGACCGAAAGGGAGTATGGGTAAATTGATATGGMCYAAGTGGCCTAAGATCCTTTTCTGTCTTTTTRCTTGGGGTTAAGACCGATCAGCGCGGAAYGTTTTACCAACTTGATGAGTGCAGCATTCTAGCTTACGTATTATATATTTTAACTAATAATGTTATYTTATATCCTCAGATCCATTTTAGACTTTTTATATATTAATTGACAAAGTATAAACACAATTTTACTAAGTTTTTATTGTGATACGAAAAAATCTCTTACTTTAATAGTAAGGGGGGACTGCTCTTGCTTAGTTATCTTTACATAGTAAAGACGAAAATCACGATTCTACCTAGGAACTATCTTACAAATATTGATTACAAGTCATATGATTATAATGTTTTTAAGGTCTACGATATTGTACACTATTGTAACGAGTGAATATTGATTAAAGCAAGAAATACTTGAATTACAGCTTTATAAAAGCAATTACTTCATCCCCAAAAAGAAAATTCCTGATATTTCAAGTATACGCACAAGAAAGCAGAACAAAGGAATGGAAAATCAAAACAGAAAAGTACTAAGCGGAGCTCAAAACTAGAGTTCAATAACAATGTCAATAATAATGAAAAACAGGAATTATTCTTGGGAATTTTTGACAGTACAGTACAAAAATATGACAAAACTGAAAATATAAGTTTTTTATCTTGATAAACTACAAATATTAGCACATCTTAAGAGCTGGACTACCTGCCTTCAATTTGCAAATTAATATTGACTACTGAAGGAAATAATCTAAACTATAATGACAAATTCTAAAATAACACTGCCTTGGTGGCCATGTTGTAAGATGACCAGTCTTGCTTCTCGAAGAATAGATAGCACAGATAAAATCCCTTCTTTTAATGTGTTAATTAGACTCAAGAAAGAAACATTAAAATACTGATTCCCGCGTTACAAGCACACATTAACAGTGAACTCGAGTATTTGACTGCTAAAGAAAACCGTTGCATCAAATATAACGTAAAAAGGGAACTTTTTAGTAAAACATATCGAAGCCACAAGGGCCTGATCGTAATTCAACATGGCTGCCATAGACGAAGATACAAAAACTTATAGTTTATTGGGAAAATGTAGCTAATTCAATTAACAATTGTTGTTGCGTAAGCCTAAATCTTAATTGTCCAACCGCTGAGAAGTTTAACGACATAATCGAGTTTCGATCCTGAGACATCCCAGAATACTTCGCAGGCGGGCGATTGAGCTTTAGGCTCCTCAAGTGACATTTGGATTAAGTGTGACACCCCAACGATAACAACAACAACAACAACAACAAACATTGCGCTAAAAATAAATAACAGGTCTATCAGTGCACGGCTAGCTCTAGAAAACTTACATTTTAATTTTGTACTTTGAAATTACTAACAAACAAATAAGATTTTGGCGATGTACAGCAATGTTTGTAAAACTAACATGAAATTGTAGTACAAAAATATATCATTATAAAACTACAATTCTAAATTCTTTAACAAAAATAGCTCCTTACATATACATATTTACTTTCTATATTTTATAGCTTGTTAAAGCTTCACATTCGATGAAATGCAGTCTTATTTAGTCGTTTTCGTAGCGTTCTCAATCAAAACAGAAAATGCTCCGAAAACGTTGGTCATGGACACAGAATGAAAATGCACATGTAAGCAGACTACTTAATTTGAGTTGTTAAGTCTCGATATTACTTCGACGAACCCTTACATCACCACCAAATTTTCAAGCTTTCATTTGGAATTTAGCTTAATTGCTCATCCGTCAAGAGTTGAAAAACAAATGAAAGTTTGAAACTTTAGTTAGAGATATATCGGACGTGGAAGAAAATCTGTTAATTTGAGCAATGTTGAGCGAACAACAACGATACAGCGATGGACAATAGCGACTACTACATGTAATTACAAGAATGATACTACATACTATTAATGATTGATGCATGCATATTTTCTCTTGAAAGACAATAGCCTTCTTGAGATTAATTCATATTTGATAATGGAAATAAAACAATGATTCCAGCTAGGGTACAAAATGAAAGCTAGCTACAACGATTAATGGTTGATTATATCAAAATGATTAATGATTGGTTAATAATTAATTTACCAAATACATCGATTAGGTTTGTTAATAACAAATACGAAAACTAATGGACTATTAAACAGAAATATTAAATGTATATTAGTCACTGAAAACCAAAGAACTCATCTCTTAGATGTTTTAAAACACAATGAAGCAATGAAAAAAATCAAGTTTTCTCAAAGCTAAAATTGAATTCTAAGCCTTCAATTGTTGAAGTTAAGTTATGATATATACTGAGCTAAGGTAWACATGCCTTGTTATGGAACCATTATTTCTGTCAAACATAGCCGTATCTGTCTACATTTCTTTATGTAGAAAATTTAGATTGGCCACCAATTTGATCAAACAAGAATGAATTCGAACTTGACTATTCAAGGACGTTTATATATTYAAAACCGACAAGAATCAATTAAACAGCAGACAAGAACCTAATTATGTGTTGTGGCACCGGGAATAAAGAAACGGAGCAATGAAAAGTTGCAAGGTRTACCAATCTATTGTTATTCTTTAGTTTCAAAAAAAGACTTTTGTGAACCAGTACACTACGCTTTGTGGCGTAAACTTTTCCTCACAACATGTTTTCAAAAAACGGTTATAACAGACAAGTTTACCTCAGCTCACTGTACACTTAAAATAATGTTACTCTCTCTCGACCAGACGCAAGCTTGACATTAATACATTCCAGTTTGGATAAACATGATAAATTCGAGATCTAAAGTTCTACCAATCTATACACTAGCTAATGGTGCAATAAGCTTTGCAGACTCACAATGAATTATGGGACGCTTTGAGGAACTGGAGACACAAACTTGAATCAAGAGAAATTTCTCTTATGAACGTTAGCGTGCTTATAATTTTCTTGGTTATTTAAGTGCAATCTTATTAGAAAGCTTGTCAGTTATTAAACAAAGATATAGAGATGTATTGTGCGTTTCTACAATGATCAATCCATTTCGCAAGTCATTTTTGAGCTTAAAATTCATTGGTTTTTGTTTCCAAATAGAACGYTTCCAATAAAACTCMTTGTGAAAAGGGCAACGTCCAYCCACGTTGATTTTCACGTTACACCAAAGCATCGCTTTGAATTTAAAATAGACCTTCAATTGGTTTAGGAACGCGATTTGTAKAAAATCTACAATACATCTCTCCTTTACTCTGTTACATGATAAAATTAGTACTATAAAATGATTATAAAAACTAGTATACAACTATAAAAATAACATTTACAAGTGGTTAAGATTAGTTTCTAATTGTATTTCGTAAAAACGCTACAACACAACTATTCACAGTACAGTATACCAAATCTATACCTGAATAAACACYGACTATTATTAAGATTATAAGATTTGTTGAATAGGAATGCCTCTYCCTATGTTAATGTACAAATTGATTTAACGATTTACTTGGAAAATTTTTAATTCGCCAAGAAAGATCTAGATATTTTGCTTAAAAAAATACGGAAACAATGTGAAACTTTGCGTACAGTTTTTTATTTAGAACACAAAAACACGAGAATATTTCATATCAACTCCTTAGCCTGAGTTTTGACTGAACAAATTCTGCATTTTAGAKTCATAGGTTGCAAATGCATTTTTTCTTGAAAACAGAAAAAAAAAGAAAAATATGTGTGCATTAGAATTGTTTGGTGCGAAAGTGAGAATACTTATGTGAAATGTTTTAATACTGTACACAAAATTACACCTGAAACCCCGTTCCTTCAGTAAATTTATTTATCTATAACTAAGGAATTGGTGCAAAAACACTTCCAAGCAAGGAATGATAAAGTCATTTTCAAAAGGWTTGACAAAAACTGTGTCGTTAGTTGCTTATCAACGTMAAAATGCATTATGGATCATGTGAGGTTTACCGAGGGTAGTTCTTCGTTTTTATGAACATTTTTCTCTCTACTGGCATATGAATAAATGGAGTTTTTTRCAGAAGGTTATCAACCTTTTTGTAATGGCTTTAGTCACTTGAACTGTCTCAGCACCAATCTCTCTAAAACCTCAAATCGAGGCACAAACCTTATATATTTACAACTTTGGACAAAAACCAAAATTGAGGACTTTCACCGGTACAATGGCGGTAAGACCTTGAAGTATCTTCCTAGGAAATTTCACAATTTGACAATTGGGAATAACTACAAGAATGTGCTCCCCAAATTAAAAATTTATTGATGCACTAAAACTGCATCAATAATGTGGAATCCTTTGTTAGATCATGAASGCACCAAAGAAGCTTGCAGATTCTTCCATTGATACAGCACTAGAGTGACCTTCGGATACACCCACTGATAATTTATCTCCTGCATTGAGTTCAAAGACTCCACCCTGGTAGCTACTGAAAAGATGTGTTTTAGTCTTCTTGACAGGACATCTTGATGTTACACTTCTCATGATCACAGTTGTGCTATTATTTGAGGTTAGGTGTACGTAGTGTATCAAATGTGGTTTGTTGTCCTCTGCTTGGAAATATAGCTGACTATATACATAGTAGCGACCAACCTTGGGGATGACTAATGCACCATTTTGATAGGTGATTCCTCCAAATGAGTGTGCGCGACCCATGTTATGATCCCAGTGATTCAAGATGCCTGACAAAAAACAATTAAAAAAGTGAGATTTTGATGTTTAATCAGATCACTGTTCTCTTAACTAGGAAGTTAAATGTCCATAATGCATTAAAAGTRCACAGGATACACAAGAAATGAATGTTAACTATAAAGACAACATGATGATTCTCATGTTTATGTCACTAGTATATTGACCTTACATTGACAAATTACTAGTAAAAGCAATTGATCATAATTTGAAAATTYAATGTTTTTATCATCTTACTTTAACTTGATAATGCAATAACACATATATTTTCTAGAGTGCATGTTAGATACTAATCATACTGTGCAAAGATGTTATGCTTACAGATGGTTTCAAACTATTCCCTATTCTGTGCTATTAATCTTAGCTAGTATAACAAAGAGATGAACTTTCAGTGATTACTTACTACTTTTACCTGTTCTTGGCTGATTGCGTGATGATTTGGTGTAACCAGTGAAATGCCCTGATGGTCTGGGTAATGGCTACGAAAAATAATCACATGAAAATAATGAATATAATAAATAGAATGTAAAATGCAGCTAGATTAAGAATAGAAATACAGTAATACTGTCAAGTCCTGATGTAAAAAATGTGTGCCCATATTGTATACTAGTTAACAGATGGTCAACCAGGTGAGAACTGGGAGTCAGCATGTGTTAATTCAAGCTAGCCACATCTAACACAAGTATAATCATATTACATATTTACTTTAAACAGTCCTACTGAGAGTGTGAAAAGCTTGATCATCAATCAATTTAATCATTTAATTATAGATGAATGAATGATRATAAATAACAATAACAAAGTGCTAAAAATTGAATTACAACATGTATGTAACTTTTATCAACCAACCTCAGGTCCACCACGATCTCCCTTTTCTCCTTTGGGTCCCATTGGTCCTTGAATTCCTTGATCCCCTTTTTCACCTCTTGGACCCCTCTTTCCTGGCGGGCCAGGATCACCTAAAGGGTCAAATATTACAACGTTTACTTCTATATGAAACTTCATATTTTAAATTCTATGATCCGCTTGTCTTCCCACACAAAAAGGAATGATAACCAATGGCATTTCTACTTGAAGTGGTCGAAACCTAGCATGGGTCAATGATGAGAGTATAAARCTAAGACCTTCATAATGGTTTTTAKCACTGTTGAACACAAGCAAATCACAATACAGGATTTGCAATAGTCCATAAATATRCAACATGGTAAACAATGCAATATCATACCTTTTATTCCTCTATTTCCTTTTGGTCCTGGAGGTCCTGGATCACCTTTTAAGCCTTCAGGACCTAGCAATCAGATAATATAAAGCAAGTTGTATCAAAATTCTAGTAACAGGTTTCAAGGCAAATGCCYATTTCATTATGACGTCATATTGTTTTAACACTAAGGATTATGATCGTTAGAGGGGAACAGATTGACTGCATGTCAAATAAAATAGACATGAGAAATCTTTCATACACGACATATATCAAAAATAATTCATTAAAGTTCTACTTTAGGAGATGAATGGTCCACATTGCTTTTCAGCATAGCAAGATGCATTTGAAAGAGTTTACAACATTGTTTAGAAAGTGGATATGCAAATGAAACAAATATATCAAAAAATATCTCTATAATATACATAATATCAAGATGGGGAAGTGTTAGCTATTTAGATACCTTGAGGTCCATCAAGCCCTCTCTGACCTGGCATTCCTGCATGACCTAGTAAAGAACAATAGTAATAAGATCAATTTTAGTGACTTTTCTCTAAATCTTGTAAAGCTTATATTGGTACCGGATAAAATAATATTTTGAAAACAAGAAATGCAAGTCTGCATGATGTGGCTCACATGTCTGTCACCCCTTGTATCTTCAAAGTCTCCACTAACTAATTATTGAGATGAAAGAACTAGGGTCATAGGATTGATTCCTGTCTGTGAGTTAAAACATTTTAGATGCATTTTTCAACTTGTTTTTTTAATCTTTCTTGCAGGGCATTTACATTATCATAAATTAGACTCAAACAAAGTCTTCAAAGTATTGTTTTTTAAAGACCTTAATTTTCTAAGAATATACCACTTTCCATGCATCCTGCAAATCATTTACATAGAAAACATAACATAGTTTAAAACAGAKATAAGAAAAGGTTTTGGTACAGGAAAGAAAATTTGTGCGCTTTTAATATCACTGTTTTGTCTAATGTGAATTCATGACAAAAACCACTTCCTGATTTCAGTCAAACTGGATGGGCAGAATGTCACTCCCAACTGATCAGTATCCTTGCACTTAGGTTTTTTGTCCAAGACAAATTGTCAAGTAAAGGTGAAAATATCATCTTAAGAGTAAAAACATGTATTGTGAAATGACTGATTTTTTTTGTATCAAAGGATAAAGATAATCTAGATTAGGAAAGCTAAACATTTCCTTTGTAAACATTTCAAGAGTATTTAGTTCTAGAAATCGGTACAACGTACCAGGTGGTCCCTGTATTCCCTGCTTTCCTCTTTTGCCCTTAGGACCTAAAATATACAGAATCATATTATAATAGAGCAACATATGTATTACCATAATAACAACCATAACCACTTCCTCCTTGATGTCTAGCTTTTAAGCACAGTTTCTACAAACTTGTAGACCAAAACCAGTCAGTCAAGTTGTATATATTTGATTATCACCATATGGTATGATTATAAAATTGACATTGCCTTAAATATATTCCTCTTTTTATCAATAAGTAGTGCCATTGTTTCAAGGTAAAATACAGTGCAAAACCAGCAGGTTTAATAAAGAGAGTTGCTATATTTAATGGCAAAATGACGCGCCAAGATGTTGATGCTGATCATGCTGGTTTAAATATTGTAAATTATTTTAAAAAGCYGATTCTCTAAAAATAAATGACTAGTGTAATCTAATTTGGCACATTTCTGGAATAATGTCATATTAATGTTTACCAGATTGCTTCAATTATATATGATTACATAATAGTTAGTGTTTATCATCGCAAGTGGCCACCAGTGTCACAAGACCAGGTGGTTGTTAACAGGAGGTAATAGTACATAATAGATGTCCTATAGTGGTAAAAATGGAGTTTATTAACAAGGATAACCAGTCTCAGTCACTATGATACTAGCAGGTAATCAGGGTTGAATAAATTAGTTTTAAGCCATTCAAGTTTTTCTTCTCATCAGGTGAAGCCATATTATTGATAAATCAAAATTTGCATAATTTTATTTTGTCTTAGGATTGAGAACATGAAAAGAWTGTGTAACAGACCATATACTGTAATACTAGTGTTAGATTGTGAAGTGTATGTAATGCAAAGGTACTAACTGTAATTGTCATGTGAGGTTACAACATACTTAGAATACAGTTACCAAAGATCTAAAATTTACAAYGCATAATTATGCCAAATATACTAAATAGAAACAAGAAAAAAATGATCTACTGCAAAAGTACTTATATTTTTCTAATATTAGTTCGATAAGTTAGCATGTTGAAATATGAATCTCTTGCTTAAAAAGCAATTCAATGACCTAATTAATGCCTTTAGCCCATAAACAATAAGTCTAATAGGAAGGCAATACATTATTTTTATAGTGGGTACAATTGATGTAGCATCGCTCCAAGGCATTATTTACTCTATTGCTTACCATATCAGCCTAACAAGAACAATAAATTGGTTGTTTATGTTAACTTTCATGGTGTTTAAGCTCCAGACTAAACATTGAGAGTCATCAGAACTGTGAAATATGTAACCTAGCGGCAGGTATTATTAATTGACGATGAAATAGCATTACCATATAAGTACATATTACATTCAGTGTCCTAATGACACATTAGTTAAAAAGATTATTACAGAGGGATGATTTTTATTCTTTCTATAAAAGTTGGAAAAACTTTTTTCAACACTTAATTAAGTGTTTATTAGGTGTGAATGACAAAATACAGAAGAATACCAGCATAAAGTTAAAGCATGTACACCAATATCATGACAAATAAAATCATACAATCAGATATTAAACAACTGAAAGACAAATCATAACTACTCTGTAAGCCATAAAGCTATATCTAGGTGGTATATCATGACATTGTGACTTTGTCTGCATATCTTTATTTGTTCTTGCATCAAGATTATTACAACAAAGTATCAAACAGACTGCTCATTTTGGAGTACTTCCAATGTGTGCTTATTAAAATATTTTGAAAGCGCCCAAAAAGGCTAATTCAATAAGACAAGGACTGACTTTTTTAAGTCCAGTTTACCCTCAGTTAGTCAAACATTTCAGATGTGCTGTCAAACTGACACTAGAACAAGTTGTATAAAAACGTCAACAACAACCAAAACAACATTGTTAGATTTAGAAGACTTTTCAATCAACTTTTGTGCTTATTGCAATTAACTCCAAACCGCAGGTGTAACCTTTGTGGCATGTTTATTTTCTGCTATTCTTTGAAACGGAACAGCATCAATTATGTTCAAAGCCATGTCGGCAGAAGACAATGATCCATAAAATTGTTTGTCAAATCGTTTTGATATACCTTCCCAACAAGCTAGCAAACTTAAACTACAATAATACAGTACTTTTGATGACAACTTATGAGCCAATCACAAATCAACTTCATTTTTAACCCAAGTTAATTGAAATTTACAAAGGAAATTAACATATTTCATATCATGTCACATAATGCTTACAATTCAGAATTTCTGGGTCAAAATTAAGTGACCACTTTTCACATACTCCTCACCATTACTACAGAGCTACAAAGACTACAAAGCTAAAACTATGAGTCGGTGATAATATCTGGCTAATTACAAACATAAAGCCATGATGGCAGATTGAGATTTGTGGAYCTCTAAGAATCGTCTGTAGGATTCTCTAAACAATACTGCGATCATTTATGCAATATTAATCATATTAACCCAAACATTAACACCATTGCTTTTCAACAGTACAAATAATCATGCATTTTGCATTTCRCTTGAGCAAGACAGAGAATTTATGACTGGACTGGATCACAACATAGAGTTCACAATATCGCACTCTATGATAACTCTTCAAGGACTACTGTTACCAATTTGAGATCGCTATCTCTTTGCTTGCCAATTAGCATAAAATCAAAATAACATTGAATAGTACGCACGGGGGAACACAGCCAGAGTCCTCGATTAGACTTGATTAGTACATTAGCGGTAATGACTAGCTAAAATCAATTAATATCCAACATCATTGAGAGCTAAAGAATTCAAATGGCCAAGGTAAAGGACAGAAACTAGTAAATACACAAAAGACAGATCATCGTGGCAACTCTGAGAGATATTTACGTCTGATTATTACATTAAATTCTATCAAATTTAGAGGAGTCACAGTTGAAAAAAAATCAAGACTAAAATACAGTGATGAATCAAACTGATAAGGGAATAATTTTGCATGATTAATTGTACAGATCTAAGGTGAAGTGACTGGTGCTTGTAATTTAGGAAAACAATGACGATTTGCTAGATTATGTTTTTGTCTTTCTCCGTTTGATCGGCACACTTCTGAAGCTTAGACAACACTAGCGTTAGTGGTCCAGAGACCATGTTCTTTTTGTCCGTCCACTGGTTTCGGCATTGAGCACAACGACTAAAAATAAGGCTAGTCCCAACTCAAAACAAAACACGGCTGAGCACAAACAATCGACACAAAATTGAAATGGCTAGAAATCATTTCAATCGTATGTTTAAGAATATTTGATCATAGACAAGGCACGCGCTGTACAGCGCTGTTTTCTTTGAGGATTAAATCCCGCTTGATTATTGATCATGCTCAAAATCACGCAGAATCAAGAATCTTTGCAAAATTCGCTCAACAAAACAACAATTACTAGATTTATTCATCCCAAGTAGTTCTGCATCAATGCTCGCGTATGACTACATCGTAAATAAACTCACTGTATCAATTTGACTCACATAACAAGGAATAAACTATAAAAATAGAATTTTGATCTGCCAAAGATATGAACAACACGAACCAAGAGTACGGACGGTAAAATTAACCAATGAATAATTATTCGAAAACTTCATCGAACGTACATTCCGATAGAGGTCTTCATAGACTACACTCATTCATTGGTATTAATATAGTGGCAGACTATGTACAAGTAGGGAGACACGAACTTCCTGGTTTGAACAACTTTTACTATAATAATGAATGAAAATCAGTACCAGTCACCCAGCAGTAATTAACAAGTTTGTTGTCTGCGCGTCTTCTCCAAATGRACATCACTTCAACTATAAAGTAGCTAGAATGGAGCTTACCTGGTTGGCACGTGCAGAGCTGCGATCGAAGTCTATTAAAAGTCTTTTGAATCAATCTTTTCAACTTCTTCTTCACAGCTTTCGTTGGCTTGGTCGGCTTTGGGTATTCTGTCCTCCGCCGCCAAGTGTTTGGTGGTTTACTCTAAGRTGGAAAAAATTCAGGCTGAAACTTCGTATTCAGTGTTAACGTATAGCTAGATCTCATATTACAAGCCATGACTCGAAAACATCTTTATGGTACCGTAAACGAACTCAAAAAGAGCAGCGAATCTTCTGTTATGAGTATTGATCTATTACCCAGAGAATTAGCTATTTAAACATCAATTATTTACCTGCGATGTAGGTTCGCTTGTAGCTGTTTCTTGTGTGGGATACGGACTCTGTTTTGAGGGCAACAAGACCTTAGGAGTCGAATTTTTAAGTGTGAAGTTTTCTCCAGAATTTCCATTACTGGATTCAAAGTGTTGTCTCGAAGCTCCCRTCCTTATTCCCGAGCTCGAGAAATCCGCTTGGTTTTCCAATTTTGATAATCTTGTTTTAACATTTTCAAGTCTTAAGAAGAGCAGCACAAATAGAGCTATAAACACAAGATTTACCACACTCGAAATGTAACTAAGGTTGATAGCAACAATCGATGATCTTCCACAAATGCATTTCCTTCGATACGTGACTGAGTTCTTCTCTGTGGATTTGTCTGTTAAGTCATTAGGTTCCCCATCCATTCTTCAAATTATTTACCACGTGTGACGCTGAACGTAGTAAAACCGAACCTACTGCATTTCCACACTAAATCTAGCGTTTCCATTAATAAATCCGACCTGTAGTAGCTGCCTCCAACTCGTCGGTGATCACATTTGTTGAACGGTGTCGTATTTACTAAGTACCCGTAATATATGACTGCATAAAACCCTGGTAGAACGAATCGCGCCAAAACTCTCCAAGACAATGGCCAATGTCAGTCTTCGCGGAAGACCAGCACGTGTGTTACGTTCACAACAAGCCCCAGTGACAACATTTTAATCATTCGCAAGGCGTCAGCCAATCACAGCACGTCATGATCAAATCACAATCGGATATAAATAACCGCTGATTGGTCAACTACAATGGACTGGCTGCTTTTCACACCTTCATACCCAATGGCATTGTTTCGCTGTAGACTTAAACGGCTTATTTATTGTTCGTTTGTCATCCCGGTGCAATCTTTTGTGTGACTGGGGTTGCGTTTTTGTTACCTGCAGGGCCAGGGGATCAAGTCAGCTCCGAAATGCACCAATATCTATTATGAACAGCACTTGGGGGATACGGTAAGACCTTCTGTCCTGGAAGTATGGAGAATGGTTGCGTAGCTAGCCTTGTGAGCATAGCCTACGCTTTTCCTTCGTGTAATCGCGTTTTTCTGGATGAGTGCCATAAAAACACATGGCATTGATTATCCAACTCCTTGGTGATTATGTCAAACTGGCTTAGCGTGACGAATATCGTCTCCCTAAAATGAGCTGGGCGTTAAGGAAAAATACTTCTTTTTTTCTGGCATATTTTGSTACAAGGAGTTTACGACCACCAGAGAAAAGGTGTAAAGGTAAACAAGGCCAAACAGGAAATCATTAATCAGACGTTTTCAAAGAAATAGGGCAAACGACATTATGAACCCATCGAATGAAGCGCACTTATTGCGTTCAATATTTGCTCTTTACATCGAGTAAGAGTTGATGGAATTCTGCGTCCCAAAGCAGTCCGTCAAACACGGGAATGTGACAGTTTTGAGTTGATTCTGCAGACAACCTCGACCTTCTGGATTTGTCACAACGTGAACGGAAATCGCAGTCCCTCACGGATGAAGGTCAATCATATATTGGACACGACTTCTCGCGGAGCTAAGACTGAAGTTGGCTTTGAAAAACGTAAACAAAGTCAACACAAACAACATTCTGTTCTTAGCTTGAAGTCAACAGACACTGACCACAATATAAAATAGCCAATCTTATGGTTTAAATGAAAGCAAGTCAATGATTCCACTGAATAAAATCTTTTTTCAAAGTTTGAAGCATTTTCTAGTTTCRTGTGTATATCGCTGGAGTGTATGTAAATTACGAGTAAACTTTTCAAAAAGTTAGTACACTGCGCCACAGATGTGACAGCAGTAGTCTGGATCAGTCACAGAGTCAACAAATCTTATTCGATCGTATTAGTCGTGCCACTTAGAATAACCAGTCTTTAAATCAAGCAAAGAGTCTGCAGTTCTTTCCCAAAAACTTCAATTCAAAGTTTTTAAAAAGTGATTTTCTAAAAACATACCAACTTAGCTGTTTATTGACAAAGTACAATAGGCGAGTGGATAGTTTGTAAGATCAGTTTGTATAAGCCCAAGGTCAAAGAGTCATTTYTCTGATTCAACGTAATAAAGTTACCGAGGATGAAGTAATCTCATCATATTGTCAAAGTTAAAAGCACCGCTTTAGAAAAAGGAGCACTACCCATTGTGAAATCAGTAAAAGCTGAAAGCTAGCATGAACTAATAATGCCGTGTTTATAGCGAAATACTCAAATATACTGAATATACGGAAGTCGTTCAAACCTTTTGAATATGGCTCCCTTCTCTTTATTAGTACAATCTATATGTCGACACCGCCCCGAGCTATCCCTGAGCTCACGCAAAAACTTTAGCATATTGAGTGATACTCTGGAAATATGTTTGATTTTTGGATTACAGTGAAAGACTGGAAATCACCCGCAGAGTCTGATGGTTTCGGACTCGCAAGAAGAGCTGCATCTTTTTATCTGAAAACTGGAGAAATCACAAGACCTCTTTTTCTTTTCTGTCAGTGTTTGGATTTGCATCAAATCAGATAACCATTGCTAATGTATACTAGCAATATACATGCTGAATGACAYTGTATGCACATATTTTTCATTTTATTTGCTTCTTATGATAAAAACCGCCAAAACCTAATCATACTTTGTTTTACGCTCGATGATGGTTTTTAGGGGGATGTAGCAGTTTCCCCCAAATGGATAATTTTCCAAGACTATTAATCACTGACAAAAGAGAAGTGACCTCATCAGAGTAATCAGAATCACAAYGCCCGCCCCAAAACGACATTTTTTGGCTAATTTTTCCCGTGTTCAAGAGATAAAAACCTAAAAATTTCAACTCTTGAATCGTCACCGGAATTGTGGCAGTGATGTAATAGCTGTAAAGTAAATTTGACTTAAATTCCTTCCGGTGAGTTCATGGGAACGTAAGTCAATCACTCGACGAAAGATTTCGTGCAGTTTCCTGATTCGATGCGGGTCTTTGACATCAAAGCGAGGCAGTAATTTCAAAGTCATTTAAAAACATTTTGGGATTGTTTCGACTAAAAGYGAACTGCACGCACAGTTAGTTTCGTCTATAATAGACAGGTCAGTCATGGTTTCAGCAGTAAGCCAGAAGTACATTCCGGTGTGTCTACTCAGTTAATGTTGTTTAACTGTGCAGTGGCATTCTTACAGCACGTTAAGAATCATAGAACAATTTGACATCTTGTAAAAACGTTTTAGTCTGTTATTYAAGATAACAGCCCCCTTAATGTGAGGTAAGCTGATGAAGTTGAAACCCACTGGAAGCACAAATCGCCCTGCAAAGCTTATCTAAGTGTCAGGCTTAGTATYTAGAATTAACAGGGGGTATTATTTGGAACATTTCAAAGTTTTCAATGAAAATATACACCAATTTACTCAAAGGATTACCTGTGATTTCTTTGATAGCAAGGATGTCATTTATTCTTATTTCCATAGCGGAGAGAACAGTATGGAGCACTGACACATATTGCTTTCTTCTCAAAAGCTTTCTATTTATAAAAACYTCAAAAASTGTATAAGTTCAGTTTTGCGAATGTCATTCAAATCAAATTCACTGTTCAAAGCCGATCTGTGCATGAATTTGTCTAAGTTTGCAACTGGATAAATTTCCAAAAAGCATAAATGCAAGGTCGATCTTCCGGATGGGCGACGTCTTCTGTCCTATAGTAGGTCAAAAACATGACTTCATAATAATGACGTCAGAGATCAAGACAATGAAAGATAAAGGGTGCAACCATCAATGAGTAGGGGTGGGGGGAGAGGGAACATAGAAAAGGCGTGTCCGGAAGAAAACAGGAACAAAATGTATACATATCAGTAAAAATCTCAGTAATGGTAAATGACTATTGTTTTGTTGGATGAGGGCTTAGGGGCTGAGTTTTTAACTTACAGTTATCGAAGTTAATGAAATAAAGTATTGGTCAAATTACATTGATAAAAGAATTTGTAAAACCACATGACAAAAATAAGGATAATAATTAATAATATGCCATTTTTGATGATTGGAGGGAACTCACTATAAATTCCAAAAGGCACTACTAATCACGTGATCACTTTTTCAATAACACTTTTGTGTTCGGATAAATTTGATCAATTACATTTGTTTGAAATCTAAATCTATTAATAAAATTCAAAATAAGGAAGTATAGATTGCCAAATTATGGAGTAACTGACTAAAAAAAGGACACATAAAGAGGGTTATTCCAAGAGAAAATGAGGTAAGCCACTAAGCCACTACTAAATCCAGTTTTTGTCTTTCACTTTATGGAATCAACACTGATACTCTCTCGAAAGCCAGTATTTCAATTTTAATCCCTATTGATACTCTTAGAGATCAACCACGAAGTGTTATCGACAGACTAATCTTCAGTCCGACCACAAGTCCTCCAAGAAATAAAAACAAAAGATTCAATATATGACAGGGTGCTGGAGATACACTGATAATTGCTGTGATAAGCTTACAGCATTGTAGCAAAACAAAGAACGTAAGTACATCATTGACCTTGTTCGATCAACGTGAGTGCCTCACTTTCATGGATCAAGGCTCGCAAAACACAATAGCCGACTTGCGAATTACGCATCAATAGTCACATACAAAGGAATCAAGACGAGGCGCCGTGCTTTTTTGTGAAAAATCTATTGTCTTTGGCACGGCGCCTCGTCTTGATTCCTTTGTATGTGACTATTGATGCGTAATTCGCAAGTCGGCTATTGATTTATCGATTTTTCATCATTGACAGATTAAACGTTTTAAAWAGCAAAACTAGTTTACTTGATTAAGAAGATGGCACAAAATACTAATTTTTCTTAAGCAAAACCTGTTTACGAATGATAATATTTTATRTGGCTTCATGATCATGGCCTTTGGCCCTTTAACAGCTGAATTTCGTAGAACCAATCTTGACCAAACCCCTGCTCAGTTTTTACTCATGTATATAACTCTCCTAGATTATACTTTTTCAGTGACGAAAACAARCGTATAAACTGCGATTTGAAACTCCGTTTTTAATATTTGATTGATATACCTGATTTCTGAACATTACAACCCGGATTACAACTCTGATAATTATGCTTCATGACCGACCTTATCAGTAAACTTATATGAGCAAATTCACGCCCTGTTTTGGCTACATTCTGAGAGTATARAAAAGMTGAAGGTTTGGCAAACTTGTTATTCGAGAGAAAAAGCACCCAAAAATTATCTATTGCTTTGTCTACATTGGTTRCACTCATGTACTCAACTCGAGTTTCATGTTCGGATTTATCGAGTCGCCATTTGTATTGCTTTCATTTTGTTTGGATTTTGTACAAATAGAATAACTTAACATTAAACAGAAAGCAATGAGCTATGTTTGCCTTTGTATGGGGTGATCTTACGAACATTACTATTTTCAATAAATTTGGCGCCGGGATGACTGCAATCACAAGTACACTTTCACGTAACTGGATAAAACCATAAAATAAACACTATTTGTTATCGGCCGTCTGTTATGCCATGAGGCAGACTGAAATATCTTTTGCAGCCCTTTTTAATTTATTAGATTATTGCTGGTCTCGATTCGCAATGATGGGCGGATGGGCGGCAAAGCTTTTGACATCAGTATCTTCTCTACGAAGTATGCATTAACTTGTTTCTTACTTTTCTATTTTCTACTACTATTTTATTTAACTTAGGTTTACCTTATAAGTTTGGCTCTGCAGCTTCAAATTCTTTGAGCTGAGATTTGGCTTGGTCGGTGAGATGACTCTTGCCCTGGGAAAATTACTTCACTATTTCAAAAATCAAGACATTGTACTTAAAACTGAATACCATCAAAGCAAGAACATCTATTTTTGACATTTTTGGGAGGATATTAAATGMAAAAGAAGCTGTACAACAAAAACAGAGGAACTTTTTTCATTTTATTCGCCGAACTGCTGAGACAACGCGTCCGGCCGCGCGGCCACCAAACTCAATCATGATTGGCTGGTGGAATGTGCTCTTCGCGCGTAGTAGTAGTTATAGGTTTTGCGCGCCAAAATGCACCGAGCTCATCTAGATCAGCTCAAACACTCATATTTGTCTCTTTCGTTAATCTTCGGTCTTTCAGGAGAAAATAACAAGAAAACTGATGGCTTGTAAATATTCTGAAATYTTGTCACAACCCCAAGGAGATACTATGTTTTAAAAATGGTTTCTGGACAGTTAATGATGTGAGAAATTCAGTTTTCCCGAGTGGTATAGTTTTTAATAGGTTTTCAGTTTCATTACACAATATTATAGTGTGCACTGATATGCATAAAGTGAATAGCTATAGTAGATAAATTATATTACAATAATATTCAAAGTTGAGTGACACATGCATTACACGAGTGAGGGGAATTAGAAGTTTCTGGATACCAAAATTGTTCCGTGAAATCTTTCAAATGCAGTATTTATTTACAAAGTTTAAAAAATATCTACAAGCAGTGAAGCTCAGTAGTAGAACACTCCATAGACCGCAGCAACACAGAAGAACGTGTCCTAAAACAAAAAAAGGCAAATATAAAMAATATAAATTTTACGGTAGCTTTACACAGGTAAATATTAAGACCGAAASTTATTCAGTATTCGGGAGGGGAAAAAACGCAAAAAAGCGCAAGAATCAGMTTCTWACATGAATCCTACTCGAAAAGATAGTTGAGGACGTGCTTGTTAGTATAGGCATCATATCGACTAAAAAGAAAGAATTTCCGAAAAGAAACAACTGAGGTAATGAGTGTTCACCGCTCTCAAAAGAAAACAACAACACACAAATGTTTAAACGCARCTATTTACATAAGCTCACGCGTCTGAACTATTAGGCTAATGAGTAAATGACTGAACCGYGCAAATTTGCTGTAATGTTTGATTACACAGCTTTCAACGTACAAAAAAGTAACCACTAGTCAATAGAGAATAGCAATGGTAAATGTAAAAATCAACCAAAACCTGGCAAAACCATACTACCACAATTCACGTGCGCTTGTACGTCGCTTCTTGTTATTACTGTACGGAACGAGTGCAAACGAAAATCAAAATGTATCGTCAGGTCCGTAACAAATTCTGCATTATTTCACGTGACACGCCTAATCTTCTCCGCACTCAAAATAGTTCAATGCTTCAAACGCTCCCAGATGCCTTTGCCGCAGTATTTTCGGTTGTCAAAAGAATATGTGGCAATTTTCCAATCCACCCACATTTGGGAGGGACAGGCTGCGAGGGCGAGACTACCCTAATACAGATTCAACGTATTTTTCCCTTGTTATGCTAATTGAATCTTCAAGAACTGGTCATYCAAGCTACTGATTCTTTTTGATGTTTTGTCAATCATAAATTCAAGAGACCCACTAGATTACCAAAAGTTTATTTTCAAATCGTGCAAAATAACAAAGACTTGAAAAGGCTCAAGAACGCGAACAAATATTTACCAGAGGCTATGACGTCAATCGTGCAATACTGCAATTGTTTTTCTCCATTTTCACCTACCATGAAAATTGTTTAAAAGAACATCCGGTAAAGCTTTGGAACAACAATCCCAAGAATATTATATTGAAATAATATAGAATTCTACTTTTMCTCAAAGAATACAGTGTTGGATTGAATCACTTCAAGAGCACCGAGGAATGTACTCTGACGCAAAGTTATTACCCTCGACTGTGTATTGTATTCGTCCAAAATATGAAAATCATAGTCTTTCAAAAAACATCGAGGATTAAACATATGGATTCTTTGCATGTTCCAAGTATAACTAAGTTTACAAAAAGGTATAGAGGTCAATCACCCGAACCGTCATACGCCTATAAATGTCTTCACCTTTTAAACCCTAAACGATCTGGTGACAGCGAACGCATTGATCAAAGGTGAATAGCTATTCATACTCAACAAAAGTAAATATTCAAATGTTTTTCTTGAAGTGGTTCTAAGAAATAAATGGACGTTAACTGCTTTGCGTGTATTTTTGTTTTSTAACGMACKCTATGACCGACGTTTGTAAGTAAGGTTAACTCGTGGATGAAATATCTTGAATGCAAMACTCAACAGCCGCAAAGTTAATGCAAGTTCACGTTTGCCGCYCATAATTACCAGCGAAAACCTATATCTGTATAGTATAATGCATCCGGACTGTTTTATATCATCTGCTGTTTTCGATAAGTGTGTGCACATCTATACCTAGTAAGCCCAATGGCAATGACGAACGCCATCTTGAACTGATATATATCACAGTCGAGAGTTTAGATGTAGTTGTTCTGTAGAGGTTCAACTGTGCCATAACCAATTAAAGTGCCCAACTGAAGCATTACAAGGAGGCACTTTACAAGGTCGACTTTTCAACATCTTAAGCAGGTCGAAAATTGACAAGTAAGACTGTCGCACGACATGTTGAAATGCAGCCTTTTAGAATACAACAATGCAAACCACGCAGTTTATACTTAACAAATTTGTACCAAATAAAATGAAATAAATCACAACAGCCACAATGCTTGTTTAAATGTATGCCGTGTTAAAAAGAAATAAGTACAAAATTATTACGATTTTTTGGAAAACAGAGAGGCAGACCCAACCTTATTTCGGAAGCTCTTTAAAAGGATTTCGGGCTATTCCAACTTTAACATCGTTAAAACGGAAGATATTTTTTAAAGACCTTCAGATTATGGTGTTTTTAGCCTCTTAATAGGTTGCCAACACGACAAAAACCGAAGCATAGCAAAACCGTATCAAGACATAAATTTGAACAAACTGCATTTGCAAATCATAAGGTCAATAATTTGGTTTCTCTATCAAACATGTTTCAAAAAAAAAAGAGAAGAATTTAAATCACACCACCATTACTGCATCTTTACTAGCATGTCATATTAAACAAATCGTTTTGTTTGAAGTATACTTGCTATGGACCAGATTGCTGTAATGTAATATGCTACATAATTGGAATTCTTTGGGCTCGAAAARACAAAGTACATTTTCAGTACATTAAACTGACTGTAGCTAAAAGTCAGACTAGAAACTGGAGAAGAAATGCTCAAGTCCGATAGTCTGATGTAGAATTAAATGTAAGTTTAAAATTCAGCTTGCGTACAGGGCGGTACCTTCTTAYGTGCAGCCTCGGGGTGAAGATATGGGTTCCCTGTGGATTGGATAAGAACCCAAGGAACGCGYCAGTAAGGACAGGCTATCGAGTTTAAAAGTAGTTAACCTTAGACTAGACAAACAAGCAAGTCTTGGTGTAACTTTACATTTCTAAATTTAATTCGACTTAGTGATATGACGCGTCGGTTCTTCCACAAGCTGCACGAGCGTATGCGTGTTGACAGAACGTTTACGAGGAAACCCGCAGCGATCCGTAGACAACCGTGCCTCGGGGAACAAGATGATGACGGTCATTAGAGAAGCCATTACGACCTGCATTAGAGTGAACAATAGCTGAAAAAGTAAGCTAGCACTTAGCAAACAAATCGTTATGAACAGCCTGAAGGCRCAACACAAAGATTAATCCACTGATTGGTCTGCCAGACAGACTTTCAATCATTCCCAATAAACACGAACATAAACAACCATTGCACCTGATTAAAACCACCAAAACTAACTAATGCAATTCATTATTCTGYTTAGTCATTTGCGAACCTATTTGTAGGCCTACCAATGATAGATAAATACAATTAGAGTCTTAACGTAGTGTCAGGTAGGGAAATGCGTCAATAAATGTATGTAAACAAAGCAAATTAATTCTATAAATGACTGTCAACTACTTGAAGCCTATTTGAAACACCAATCTCATGTGTGACGAAATCAATTTACTTCGGCACTCTTCTGCTCATTACCATCTCATTTGCATATTGTCGGGACATGTGAGATACGACGTTTAAAAAAGGCTTTGTCTTTTTTTTTTTTTTGCAATCTACAGTAATTCTTTGACTTGATTAGTGCATTCATTTATAAAAATAGTTCTTAAAATGATTCTTAAAATTAAGCTAATCTGAGTCTATGATGAACGTTTTGATTACACGTTCTCCTTGAAAACAGAGCCATCGCAGCCTCTCTCTTAGTCGGGCCTCMTTGCAAAAAGCCACTGGGCCCAATACAAATAATTTATTGGCAGCACTGAATCAGTGAATACTTGAGTATAACCTGAATAAAATCAATATTTGCGTTTTTGTTTCGGAGAGGCCAACGAAGTAAACAAGCAAATAAGTAGACAACAATACAAAAAATTAGAACAAAGTCTCGCTAACCCTTGAAATATCCTGTCCCACTTTCGACAAATAACTAAAAGCTTTCGATTTTTTGGGAGGGACTCTCCATAACTGTCCACAAAGCAGGCTTTGTCTCACAAGAGAATATATTCCGGAGAAGCCACAATAGCTCGAGCAACAAACGAGGAAAACAAACAAGCAAAACCAGTCTGAGAGCATGAAATGCTTAAGTTCCTCAAAATTTTTCTACCCATTTAAACAAGCACCTGCGTAAATTAGTCAACAATAAAGAAGGTGGGTGTACTTCAGACACACTGTACCGTATCACCAGCTGGTCGTACTTGATCGCTCTGCAGTTGGTTRTGCGTAGGCTGATGTGTGTATGCGACATTGGCTTGCTTTCTGAGATCGATTTCATTGGACCACACTAATATACTACGTTAAGAAAAATCGTTTGACTTTCTGTCAKTCTTTTAATTCAAACAGGAATTCATAATAAAATTGGAAAGAAATCATGACCTTACATTAGGACTTCCGTGACAATAGCCTGTAGYATTTGAAGAAGTTAAGTGGACCACAGCAAGAAATAAAAGCACGAGTAAAAATACAATGAAGGATCAATGCAAAGCTCTCAAGTACGGCTTGCTTTCCATGTGCAAAGAATATTGTCCCCGCATGACTCTTCAAAGGTCGATGAATACAAATAATAATACCAATAATTATAATAATAAATAAATAAWTAAAGATTTTGCATAATAGACATTCTTAGGTGTTAATCACCAAAATAATCGTTTAACACGTCTTCGAAMTAGACTATCACTGTAAGTATTTATTAGTATTTGATATTTGACGCTGTAGAAACAAGGTAGTCAGAGTCATGGGCATGAAATATAACCTTGGACTAATGCTCAGCCTAGTGTTACAAGCTATTATTCCCCTTGACTACCATCTTTAGCAGCCTTTTTGTGGTAAAGGATTGATTCTGCAGTCTGAACAGCTGGAACAGATTCATTGAGCTGTTGATAATAAATTCTCTTTGGGATCTGGGCTGGTTYTGGAGAGTAAATTCTGATTAACTGTTATCCCACTTTTGATCACCTTTGATMCACCTTTTGATCACGTATAATCCATGTTTTCAGGATCACCTGATTATCCTATCAAAAAAGGGAGGATCTCGCGGACAGAAATCCATTGCTAGAAGATCTTGTGTCTAGTCGCTTATTTGAAGCTAGCGTTACGACTTCATTTCTTGGTACCTACGTATAAGTGAATTTACAGCAAACTTCACCATTTTAATACTTCCGCCGGAAGTAG